GAACAACTTACAAGAGATATAGAGAAAGAGAGGTATCTATGAATAATTCTTAGCAATCCTTTTTCATTTGATGAACCAACAACATTTGCAAAGGCCTCTCTCTATTTATATGTGTATAAATAAATAGTACCTATCTCATAGGTATTCAGTGAAAAGAGTGACCCAATCCTGTTAGAGTATCTCATATCTTCTCAAAGATATTGCTTTTCCTTTACACAACTATCATGTTGACAAGTCTCTATTTCTTATAGTCCGGTACAAGATCTCATCTTATACCCATATGTGGATTTTGTATCTCTATATGAATCCTTGCATATACTAGCCGTACCGTATTAATTTTAACCTAAACCCAAATTAATATTTGATTAGGAACATTTTTAGAATACATTATTCTAAGGTTATTATAACGTTTAGATATAACGAAGAATAATACATAAACATAATAATTGGATAATGTTTTTCATTAACTAATAACATGACATAATGTCCAAACAGAATCATTCAATGATGGATTTTTGAACATATACAATAACATTAAAAACTTGTATATTTTTTTAATGAATAAATGATGAAATTACCGAAATACCCCTTACATGACTAACAGGCATTTTTCTACACCTTCTAATAGACCTAATAGATATGGACAAAAACAACAACAAAAATAAAACCTTGAGACACGCTTGTAATTTTGAAAAGTTTTAAAAGAAAAGCATAGTTTCCATAAATAACAAAGACATATTTTAATATTTTATAAATTAAAAATAAAGTATTTAATTATTAAACTTAAATTAAATTATAATTAAAAAATAAATTAGAGAAATTACATAAAAAAATAGAACTTTTAAATAGTTGATTTGATATTAACATTGATATTTTTTTTTTCAAATTTTTATGATATCTTCAAATTTATATTTTATTCAAAAATAAAATCATTATTGCTTTCTTAAAAATATATAAAATCATATTATAATATCGACAGAGACAAATAATAAAATAAAACATAAAAATCGAGATGTGTCATGCTGCATTGCACGAATACTCTTCTACTATTTTATAATTTACTCTACTATTTATTTGGTTATAAATGATGAAACACAATTAACAATGTTCAATATACAACCATTTAAAGTATTTATACAATTACTATTTTTATTTATTTTAATAATAATAAAACATTAAGAAAATAATTTCTAATAAATTTTATATTATTTTTATTTTATAAATACAGTATGTCAATAATTACACGTCACCTTAATGGACGGTAACGTAAATACTGTCATAAGGTACCCGACTTTTCAATTAAAACTATCAAAAATAAACATTTTAGGGAACATGGGTATGATTCTTTACAGTTAACTCTTCAAATAATGGTTATTTATGTCATTTTTCATTTAATTGTGTATTCTTATTTGTATAATAGGTACCAAAACTGTTAAACCTTCATCCTATAACAACATATTTCTCATGTGCTAGGAGGATGACTAAGCAGACGGGTCAGAATGATTAACAATAAACAAACACATTATTCATGAAGGAGACCATAACCGTTGGACCAATGTGATCATTGACTTGTAAAAAGGAACAAACGTACAGTTGACGGGGTCTTGTGTTGAAAGTGACGTGTGATATTTTTTAAGTTGTGATATAATTGTTGAATGAACACTTGCACACTTGATTAAAATAACTGAAGAATTTTGAAACGAAATCCCTAAATGTGGTCTTGACTATTATTATAAGACGTTGATCGTTTTTAATTAACTTAAATGACCAAATGGCTATTGGGAAATAATTAGTATCATACCGTTCAAGATTCATCGGTTTTTTAATCAGTTATATAAAATACCTTAATCTATCATAAATAAAATATATAAAAAAATAAATCAGTCTTTTATCTTTTATTTTTCACTTAACTTAATTATTTACATATAATAATAAATACAATATTTATTAGGGTATTTACTTAAATTCAAAGGATTATAATCATGACAATCATGATTGGCATATAATTGTACTCACATTCACATCCTCCTCAAACTCAAAGTTGGTATAGTGGATGGCAACTTGAGTTTGCTTAAGAGATCCTAAAAGCACTTGGAAAGATGTGTTTTGGTGAATTTATTGAGTGTTGGTCATTTTTTTTTAACCATAAGGATGGTGTTTAATTGGTTTGAGTTTGGGCTTCAAAGGTCAAAGTATCTGGAGGTCTCAAGTTCAAATCCAAAGAGGAATAAAAATCTCCTTATGGCCACGAATGTTCAAATACGGTGACTCCGGGCTACCCACAAAGTAGGTGGTCGTTCTGAGATTAGTCGGCTCGCATAACGAGTTGGATGTACAGGTTAATAAAAAAAGTATTTGTAGAAGAAGAGTGGCACATATATTAGCCAATTATCAATATAACAAAAGTAACATTCTTATTTAGATTCAATACTTTGAGAGTTGCTTTTCTTGCCATGCCCATAAATCAAAGAATCACCCACATAAAAACAATAACCGGTCATGGAACAATCATTCATAAGATTACCGTTCAAATAGACTACATAATCATAACATGGAGAACATAATAGAGATACTATAACCATGTATTGATTTAATTATCTCAATCATTAAGGTAATTTGCAAACTCGGAATATCTCTTTATCTATAGATATCTAAAGAGAGAGAGATCCGCTGCGTGAGCAACCCGACTGTGCATCACATGTGCTCTACAGGTTGCACTCCATCTTTATTCCCCCTTTTTTCTTTTGATTTGGAAGACGCGCATTGCGTTTGGTTCGAAAGGCATGGTTTTCAGTATGTCTCCAGATAGGCCCCCCACTAGTCCGGATAGCTAGCGAGTGGTTCTTTTGGGCGGGAATGTTTTAAGATTTCTACCTTATCAAAAAGAATTCTCATCCTGTGAACACAAAGATTGTAATTAAAACCCGTCAAAGTTTTTGTGGTAGGTTTAGTGTAGCGAACAATAACAAAAAGATGAGAACTTAACGAGTGGTGCATTCAAGAGTAGAATGTGACACAACATAATGCATGTTTTCAAAATTGTCGTAAGAACTCTAGGAATAAATCACAACGCAGAAAAAATTGTTACGGCTTTTATACCATGTTACTAGATAAGAACAAGAGTAGTTTGAAAATTTTCTAAATTTATGTTCCATATTTTTCATTATACATGGATACCTCATCTTGCTCAGAGTAACATCTCAAATTCAGTTCAGAATTTTACTGAAAGAAAGTCCATGGACTAGTTGTTATAAACTTATAACGGGTAAGTTAAGGGGGCCAATGGTAATAAGCTAAAAACATCATGCATGGAATTTAAGTACGTGTGATTAATGAAAAGAGTATGAAACAGATGGAACGGTTTGGAGGGAGATTAAGTCTCTTGTAAAATCAAAGACAATGACAACTCATTCTAGAGAATAATGGCAGAAGTGGAGAAGGAAATCATAGAGAGAATTCATAAGTTAATGCAAGTCTAAAAGTAAGGAAGTGCTAGAAAGAGTACTGTAGGTATCTAATCTATCAACTCGGCCAAATGAAGCCGCAGTTGAATTCTCCAAATGGAAAGGACATGGAGATTCTATAACTCGTGTTCAAATCCAGCTCCACCCATACTACGTTAGGACACCACGATTTTCCTTCCATGAAGGTAATAGGCCTGGTATAGCGGGGACAATTGTACTAGCAATTTATAGATTATTTAATGTATATATATGCCAAATGAAAACTTCAGACCTTGATAGATACTCAACTTCAGATCTAACACGTGACCTGCTTCATTTTCTTTTAGGGGGTTTCTTAATATACCTACACCTTTGTTCATAATTGCAGGAATTCCTTACATGATATCCAAAATAAAGCAAATGGATACCGCGTTCCTTCCACCGAATTAATAACCAAGGCATGTCACAAATTTTTCTCGATACAAGTGACATAATAGGCCCTTGATCATTAGTTTCAACCAATTTCAACCCTTCTTTTATGGCTGAGTTACATCTGTAACTTTAACTAAATTGTTTTCTAAATATTTTAACTTTTAAGTATTTACACAAGGACAAATTATAACAAAACTAATTCTGCTCCATTTTTAAACACTGGTTTTAAAAATCTTCATTTCAAAGATCAAAATTGCCCGTTTCAAGAATTCAGTGATCAAATTATTGTTAAACGAGTGTTGACTAGGGGTGCTTATGAGTTGGGTTGATCGGGTTGAAGACATTTGAACCACCCAACTCAATGCTTACGGTTTGAAAACTCTTAACCCAACCCAACCCAAACCAAAGTGCAACCCAAACCGTACGGGTTGGTCGGATTGATACTTTAGTATATTAAAATATTCTTCTAACCTTGAATACATTATTTTTCTGCTCATAATTTTTTTTCATCATCAACCATTTGATACAACTTATCCATACTTATTACATACATTACATTCAGTTATTTATCTCAATTTACATATATATATATATATATTCATAGTTACTAAACATATATACGAATGAGTTATATAGAGATGTGAATAGATTGAAAATATGTATATATGAAGAGCGTACGTGATAGGGTAATTATCTAATGTATATATTAATAGAAATTCAACAATCATATTAAATCTAGGAAGTAAAAAGATATCGGGTTCATCGGGTTGAGTTGAGTTCAAATAATAGTAACCCAATATCAATCCAATACCTACGGTTTAAAATGTTTACAATTCGATTAACATCAAGTTGAATTATTTTACATTGAATTTGGTTGGGTTGATTGAGTTGATCGAGTTGATCGGGTTTTTGAATACCCCTAATGTAGACAAAGGTGAGAGTTAGAGTGAGTAGTCACCCGTTAAAGACCAGAGATGTTAGATGTTTTAAAAATAAAAAATAAATTGTTTTTAAAATTCAAATTTTAGAACTTAATTCTTCAAAATTGAGATTTTAAAAATATTGATTTAAAAAATAAAAACACAACACAAACTTAATTTGATTTTGATTTTGATTGTGTAAATAGGTTTAGAGAGAGAGAGAGAGAATAAATCAAAGAGAAGACAGGAAAGGAGCAGAGCACGCCCCATGAGACTCTTCTTCCTCATTCATTCTTCACATAAACACCATCATCTCTTTATTTCTTCCTCCAACACCCCTCCTTTCTGAATTAAATCCATTTTTATACCCATATCTCTATATCTATATCTATATCTATATCTATATCCATATCATATTTGTTGTCAGATAGGGGGCCTGTAAATATGATGAAGATTGAGGGTATGATGGAAAAAGGGGTGTTGGATGATATCATAAGGAGATTGTTAGAAGGTAAAGGAGGGAAACAGGTGCAGTTATCTGAGGCAGAGATTCGTCAGCTATGCATTAACTCCAGACAAATCTTCCTTTCCCAGCCTAATCTCCTTCACCTCCGTGCTCCCATCAGGATTTGTGGTAAGATGCGATCAATTACAGATATAATAATGATCCAATTCGACCATACGTTTAGTTTTTCAATTTTGGGCTTTTTCGCTGCCCTAATAATTGAAGGGGTTTGCTTGTTGTCTTGTAAACTGTGTATATTTTCTATTTCTAGGGCACCGATCGCTTAGTAAATGTTTTTTTTTTTTTTACAATTTCTGAGTCTGGAAAACGATTTCTTTGCAAAATCAAGGGGGGAAATGCTCAGAATTGTAGGTTCTTGGTGCATAGGGTTACCCTTTAGAATATGAAATATTATGTTTATATGTATCAAGATGATTTTTCATGGATTCTGTATATCATTGTTGTGTTTTCTTCAATTTATTTTCTTACCCTTTTGAAGTTCTTCATGTTTTTCTCTAGGGATAAAAATGGGTTGTGATTTGGAAAGGGAAATTTGATAGTTTTGATTGTATTTGGAAAGAATGTTTTGTTTATTTTCAAGTTGTTACAGGTGATATACATGGTCAATACCAAGACCTATTGAGGCTATTCGAATACGGTGGTTTTCCGCCCTCTGCAAATTATCTCTTTCTTGGTGATTATGTTGATCGAGGGAAGCAAAGTTTGGAGACGATATGTTTATTGCTTGCTTTCAAGATAAGGTATCCTGATAAAGTGTTCCTCTTGAGAGGAAACCATGAAGATCCCAAAATTAATCGAATTTATGGGTTCTATGATGAATGTAAAAGGAGATTTAATGTCCGTCTTTGGAAGATATTTACGGACTGCTTTAACTGTTTGCCTATTGCTGCAATAGTCGACGAAAAGATCCTTTGCATGCATGGAGGACTTTCCCCGGATCTTGAGAAATTAAGTCAAATAGAGGAACTTGAGAGGCCTACGGAAATCCCAGATAATGGGCTCCTGTGTGATCTACTGTGGTCTGATCCTACTCACGTAGCGGATGGCTGGTCGGATAGTGATCGAGGTGTTTCATGTACTTTTGGAGCTGATATCGTTCATGAATTTCTTAGGAAGAACAATCTGGACCTTATTTGCAGAGGTCATCAGGTAAATATTCTTAGTCAATGCATACTAGATGTTACTTTCATGGTGCACACTACAACAAAATTGGCTTTATAGGATACCAAATATGTCTAAATGTCCTAATAGACTATGGCAAACAAAACTCTTGTGTATCAATGAACTAAATAATGTCATTTAAAAAGAGTAATAAGACGCATTATTTCAAAATTTTCCTAAAAACTTGTTAGGACGTCAAAGTGTGCTCTAAAACACCTTTACATAGGATGCACAGTTGTTTAATCCTATAAACTTAAGTCCTATAAAGTGGTCTATGAGGACATTTAGACATATTTGTGGTCCTACAAAGCTGATTGATTATGTTGTAGTGACATAAAACGAGCCTCTTTAACCATGCAAACAATTCATGACATTTATATGCCCAAGTGCTGAGCATGTAACTCATTGAAGGTGCTGTGGCTGCAAATTAGAACACAACAACGAAGTATTTCCCTTTTTTGACTGCAGGTGGTAGAGGACGGCTATGAGTTTTTCGCAAAAAGAAGACTCGTTACAATATTTTCAGCTCCAAACTATGGAGGAGAGTTTGACAATGTGGGTGCATTATTGAGCGTTGATGAATCTTTGGTGTGTTCTTTTGAGATCCTGAAACCAATTGATAATGGGCAAAAACCGGGCACTTCTAAGGTGCCTCTTAAAAAGGTAAAATCTAGTCAAAGTTCTGATCGTTCAATATTTACAGCACTTTCTTTCTTTCTTACTTTTTCTTGTTCCGCTACATTCAAAGATCTATCTTTTGACTTTCGGGTCAAATATACACTCCCTTGGTTCCATAATAAGGTTCAGCTTACTATTTTTGAGCATCAAGCCCCCGCAAATTCCTATCATATCAGTTCTGAAAGTCACAAACTAATCTCCTTAGTCTCAAAAGTCAAGTTATGTCCTTTTTTCTTGGAATGAGGATATACTCTCTGTCTCAAAATAAATGCCCGCAATGAAAAAGACAGAGAGTTTTAGAAATATCTAACTGTTACATTTTTGATTAACTAAAAGACAATTTTACCCTTGGTAATAGATGGAGTCGTGAATTTCTCCATCTCATAATCAAGGGTAGAATTGGAAAGTAGACACTTGGTTGAAAGTGGACATTAGATTTCTAAATATGGATTGCATGAAGATGGTGTTAGTTGTCTCTTTTATGAATGTATTGAGGTCAGAGATGAGATTTATAACTCTGAGTTTTTGTTGTTGAACAGCCACCCAAAATGGGAGCAGCCTAACATGAAGAGGTTGTGTGAATTAGGAAATGAACAATAAGTTTGATTATTTGGGAGGATGAAAGCAGCAGGCCATAGGAACTGAGATGCAATCAAGGAATACCCTTTTTTAGGTTTAAAAAAGTGAATAGATGTGAGTTATGATTTTCCATTTTTCTTGTGGAGATGATGATGATGATGTGTTGTGGCCTCTTGAGATCCCTTTGCAATTTGGTTCATTGTTTGTTTGATGATCCATTGGCTTCTACCTCATCTTCTTGTACCTTATTTTGAAATTCATAATTTGAATTTGAATTTGAATTTGGGTTTTGATCATTATATTTCTTACATATGTTGACATCTATTGTTATATCCATTACCTCTTGTGTGATCAGATGTTAGGGGTTGTTTGTTTACCTCTTAAAAGTTCCATTAAGAGGCAATGAATCGTTAAGAAGTGAATCTTGTTTGACAAAAAAAAGTGTCTCTTAATGGTTTTAAAACCCTCTGAATGATTTTGTATCATGGATCTTCCTTAACCATTAAGAGCCCTAATTTCATTGTACACAATTACCAAACAATTATATTTCATTTTGCACTATATCATGATAGCCTCTTAATCATTCTAACCAGTTAATCATTCTGCACTAAACCATTCAGCAATTGCCAAACAACCCCTTAATTCAAAATTTATCAAAATCGCTAGGGATTTTCTCCCTAAAAGTTATTTGTCTCCAGGGCTTTATGAGATTAGACGAGATATATGTAAGCTGCCAATAAGTTATAAATTAGTTACCAAAGGATCTTTGGCCTAGCGGTATCGTAGCCCTTGGCCTTTTAGGAGGTCAAAAGTTCAAACCTCACCATAGGTGAGGAGGGTGTGTGAGTTTATTTGTTGCACTTGCCGTATATAAATATTATATACTTAAAAAAAAAGTTATAAAATAGTTATGAGATGATCTTATCAAACTAATTTAGATACATTAATGATGATCTAGATTGACCTATTTAATGTTTTTTTTATAAATAAATTGTTGTCATAAAATGTTGGAATATATTTCATATTTACCCATTATTGTAATTATTCATGGTTTTGGATGTATTGTATAAATAGCACAACGGACATACACTTTTCCTTTTCGCCTTCTTTAGCTCTTAATTCTCTATCTAACCGATCACATATCAATCTTAACATGATAGGTCCCGGTTGTCATCGGGGCTAGTGTAGGTTTCATTGGCTGTTAATTTTAGGTCTTGTGAAATTAGTTGAGGTATACACAAGGTGTCTCGAATACCCCCATAGTTATCTAATAAACATAATCGCAATTCAGTCTTCCTGTAATCTTGTTTGAATGATGTAATGAAATATGATTAAAATTAGAACGAATTTTTATCAGGTCTGATTGTACGTTTGATTGACAAGAATATGAGAGAAATCTATCAAAAGAATTGAAATTTTACAAATTGCCTGTTCGGTTCACATAATTTAACTCAGAATTAAAGTGAAATAATAACAAATGACAAAAATACATTTTTATGATATTTTTTTTGATTAACCTGGATATCCAACTCGCTATGTGAGCCAACTAATCCCAGGACTCGCACCTGCTTTGCAGATAGACCGGAGTCATCGCATTTGAACCTCTGTGGCCATAAGAGGATTTTTATTCCTCCTTAGATTTGAACCTGTGATCTCCTGGTACTTTTGAATTTGAAGTCAAGCTCAAACCACAATCAGATACCACTCTTATGATTAAATTCTAAATACTAGTAAAAAATGTTGACAAGACAGATAACTCGTACATACACACAAATATTGTTTACACATTCCATAAAAATTGCCTCATGAAATATTGATTATTTTTTATGATGAAACTTTCAAAGTTTTGAGGGTGCGTTTGATACGATGATTTCAAAATTTTAAAGATGCCTTTGATACGGTGGACATGAGAGGCTTTTCCCGTCTTTGGTGTAGAACAATAAAGAAAGAAGCAGATTTAGGGGTTGTTTGTTTACCTCTTAATGGTTCAATTAAGAGACAGTTTCTGAATCATTAAGAAGTGAATCTTGTTTGACAAAGAAAAGTTTGTCTCTTAATAGTTATAAAACCCTTTGAATGATTTTGTATCTTGAGTCTCCCTTAACCATTAAGCGCCTTAATTTCATAATAAATAAATAATTACCAAACAATAATATTTCATTTTACACTATATCATGAGGGCCCCTTAAACATTCTGATTACTTAATTATTCAGCATCAAACCATTAAGGGTGCATTTGATATGCATACTACATGGGACACAGGACGGGACAAAAAAAATTGTCTCATGTTTGATATGTCATTGACAAAAAAAATGCAGACAAGGTAAAACTATTTTTAATTTTTATGAGAAAAATCTTGATATTTTCTCATTCACCTATAGAAAAACTAACTAGTTGTGTACCCGCGCAATGCAGCGGGATGTAAATTGAAGAAGAAATTTAACAACTTAGTAGCTTATCAAATTTAAAATAAAAATGCAATTCCACCAACTAAAATTGAAAATGAAGAAAGGTCTTCATATTTTCTCAAGGACAATGGTAACATTATTCAAGGAACACAATCTACAATGCTTACCATTTTTATGAAAGAAGATTTGTTTCTAATCAAACGAYACACTTGAGATGACACATACAACCGAAAGGGCTTCRTAGCAGGGATCAATTGTTTTCGAAGATAGAAAAACAAAGATATACAATGCTTACAATCTTTAGGTAATAAGTATGCAACAAAATATTTTCGTCACAAGTCGGTAAAAAAGGAACATGCTTTAAGGCAAGCAAAAAGCAAAAAAATTCAATGATTTATACTCTTTTCCAAGAATGTTGCATCATTTAAGTGTGTACCACACATCAAAGGAAAATAGGAAACAAGATCATAAGAAGTACATGTAAAAATTAAAAACTTGTAATAAAAACTATAAATCTAATAATGTCATAAATAWAAAAAAAATATGAGTAACATACAAAAAGAAGTAAACTATATCAAAATTTGAAACCAACCAAYTGTCACAATAAAAACTTTTCCTTATTAAATCTCTTATTCGGCTAGTATCTCCATGCCATTGTCAAAAATGTCAATAGGCAATATCATCGTACTCAAAGGCCTTCAAATATCTATGGATCGACAAACATCAATATGTTGAGGTAAATGGTCCTACCACAACAAACTTTCAACCATAATTTACAACTATAAAATACCATCACCATCAAACCTCTTGCCACACAAACATTGATTGTTTAAGCTAGTTCCGTAGAAGCTTTGATTACATATCCAACCACGCATTGTTYAATGGAACCATCTTCTTCAACACTAAATCYCTTGGCAACCACTTGGACAAGATCCTCTGACTGGATTACAAGTGTTCCAATCACCCCCTTATTGATCACATTTGAATCACCAACTTGCCTTCTTGATCATCCTTGCTCGTTTCAACACAAAAGCTACATCAACAACAAATGCAATACAAAGACAAACAAAGATACTCAATATAATTCACTCGATTAAAAATATATATTCATTTTGGTTTTTGAACATTGCGTCTCTTTCATTTACTCCAATCCATTCAAGAAAATTAGGTACTCCTATCTATTAAGTCATGCCAAAAAATGGTGGCCGCATCAATCAGTACATAGAACCGATTTCCAAATTTCATCCGATTTTTAAAAGCATTGATATGTTGTACCCAGTGCTCGTTGAAGCATTAATAAGTTGTATTATTTGCATTAGGACTTGTAGTTAAGAATTTAATAAGCAGTACTATCTATCTGCTTGAAAAAGTAGTATAGCCACCCAATCTTTCAGTTAATTTCACTACAAAAATCACTCAAAAAGACGAAAATTACCACTAACATCTGCAATAGATAGAGGTTAGATTCTAAAACATAACTCCTAGTGAAGGACATTGCTCATATATTGATCTAGAACATAAGCAAGTGTCAAAGGTGGAAACATAAAAGATTATTTTTACTTAATAGTAATGTATGTGCATGGATGGTAATTTAAGAATCCATGGTAGAATCCGACTGAATTTAACATGAGGCTAAATTCATTCCAGTGATGTACATGTTGGCAACAATTGAAAACCAGAGATGGAAACATGCTTTGATGCAATGTAGCCAGAAGTTACAACAACATGGAATCTTATTAATGTTGTGGTTAGAGAAAAGCAAAATATCACAGTAAACCCAGTAAATAAGAGGTATCTATGAAATAAAATCCTAATTTCCGTTGCACAATTACAAAGTTCAGAAACAACATTTGGAAATTTTCAGAAACTAATATCAGTACATTCTGACATATGACTGTATAGCTATGTTGAATGCAAGGCAACCTGAATCTCCCATACCCCTTTCAGGCAACAAAATTACACCATTGCACGTAAAAATTTAGTTTTAGTTGCCTAATTATAATCATAAGTGGCATCAAATAGAGGTAGAATTTGATTGCTTCAATACCGTAAGTCCAATTGTGTTGAGGGGAAAAAAAGAAGAAACGAAGCTCTTGATGTAATTACATCAATTGTGCTGAGATAAATTCCTCCCTCTCAGAGACAGGACATGGGATATTGCAGGACCATCATTTAAATAACTACCATACACGGAATAATGGAACATCAGCCACTACCTGATCTAAGGACTATAGAGCTCCAATTAACAATAAACCAAGACACATCATTCTAAAACTATTCAACTCCATTATACATAGATGTATACCAATCTTCTCCTACACATTATCAAAATTTTGTACCTTCAACAATGAGTTATCATGACTGCAATCACTAATGAAGTTTCATCTAAATCCTTCTATCTATGTCCATTGTGGTAAACTGATCCCCACACATATTGTGAACAAATGAAACCATCCATAAGAGATATATATATATATATATATATATATATATATATATATCATACAGTGTAAGTACATGCATTCACAAATTCTGATCAAGTAAATATCAAAACAACTAACTGATATTAAGTAATAGGTACTATGTTGCCACTCAAATCGCCATCAAACATGTCTCAAAAGGTTGTAACTCAAATTGAGGACAACGATTATTTCACAAAACATAGAATGAATGTCACTATGTAAAGGAAATCAAATAGGCTAAACCAGAAAGAAACTCCAGAAACTTTCTATGAGAAGCAAACTAAATAAAACCTCATGTACATAACATACTTTAAAGCTATAGCAACCTCAAGGGTTAATGGGTACCTGAAGTTCATATAGAAGGGTTCCCCATTTTGTTTCCACTTGCAAAACTGGATCATTTGGGGGAGTAGACATTATTAGAA